TATTTTCTTGAAAATTGATCTTCAGCAGTCTATTCTTTATTTTGTCCCTAGACTACATAGCTTTTTTATTGAATAGAAACATTTGCACCATCATTCCTTGTTGGCCGTTACTTAAATGCACACCTGTACAATTGCACATAAAGAAGTAGGGATCTTTTCTCATTTATGTTGTGGTTTTATTGTCTTTATGTAGAATTTGATACCCTTTTGCATGTTGTTGTTCTGCTTTCCTCATTTGTCCACCTCCGACCTCCCACCCTTCCTCCCAACATGCCTGTGGCTGGACTACCAATAGAGAACATCCTTTATCTTGGTGGACCAAATATTGCCTCAGAGATTTACAACAAAGAATATGATAATGCTCAAATTTGTGCACATAAAATTGTTGTGTGTTTGCATTTTATACTGTGCATTTTGAGGGTAGACACCAACTCAATTTCAAACTACGATGTGCAATTGCAGTTGTGTTGTCCCCTTGGGCACAGGTTGTTGGGCATGGATTGTTTGATTTTTGGGGATTGTAATGTTTGTTTTTCAGTTACATATACAGGTTGACATTTCCATGGTCTCCTATTTCTAAAGAAAATTCTGTNTTTTCAGTTACATATACAGGTTGACATTTCCATGGTCTCCTATTTCTAAAGGAAATTTTGTCGAAATTTTANAATGAAGGTAACAACTTTCATTCAATTTTACTACAAATATCTCTTCTTGGTCTTTTTATTTGTTTTTTGTTCTTGAAGAATTCTTTTTATTAGTTTAACAACTTTAAGTTGAAGTGATTCATTAATGATTGCAAGTGATTCATTAAGCAATTATTTTCTTGAAAATTGATCTTCAGCAGTCTATTCTTTATTTTGTCCCTAGACTACATAGCTTTTTTATTGAATAGAAACATTTGCACCATCATTCCTTGTTGGCCGTTACTTAAATGCACACCTGTACAATTGCACATAAAGAAGTAGGGATCTTTTCTCATTTATGTTGTGGTTTTATTGTCTTTATGTAGAATTTGATACCCTTTTGCATGTTGTTGTTCTGCTTTCCTCATTTGTCCACCTCCGACCTCCCACCCTTCCTCCCAACATGCCTGTGGCTGGACTACCAATAGAGAACATCCTTTATCTTGGTGGACCAAATATTGCCTCAGAGATTTACAACAAAGAATATGATAATGCTCAAATTTGTGCACATAAAATTGTTGTGTGTTTGCATTTTATACTGTGCATTTTGAGGGTAGACACCAACTCAATTTCAAACTACGATGTGCAATTGCAGTTGTGTTGTCCCCTTGGGCACAGGTTGTTGGGCATGGATTGTTTGATTTTTGGGGATTGTAATGTTTGTTTTTCAGTTACATATACAGGTTGACATTTCCATGGTCTCCTATTTCTAAAGGAAATTTTGTCGAAATTTTACAAAAAAATAGCGGGTTATTATTATAGATTAGATTGATGTAACTTTCTTTAATTATTTTGCAAAAATAATTAAAATTTTGCCTTCTCTTTAGCATTCTAAGATTTGAACAATCATGTGAAATTCCTTATTGCTTTGGTTGTTTTGTTCATCTTTCAGTTCTGTACACAGGTTCATATTTTTAAAAGAAATAATGTCAAAATTTTGAAAAAAATATCGGGTTATTAGTAGATTGATTGATTATGTGACCCAAAAAATAAAGTGTTATATTGAGTGAACAGTTCACAAGCGTATTTAGTGAGTTGCAAAATGCCTTAAGTCATGGGTTGTTTGCCGTGGTTTTTTCTTTACGTGTTTGTTGTGTGGACTAAGTTTGGTAAAGTGAATACAAAAAACATTGTGTTATTGGTTTATTTTGATTGGAATTGATGGTTGCCAAAGTTTGATGGGTTTGGAATGATGATTTTTTGGGGAATTTTTATTGTGAATTCTGATTATTGTTAAGTCAGATTGTGAACTGTAAATTCGAAAGACTGAGTTTTGTAGACAAGTTGCAAATTTCTTGAAATTCTGTTGTTAGAGTAATCTCTGTCAACATAGTAATTGCCCACAAATGTCAAGTTGTCTATATTGATTTCAATTTCTTTAATAAAAGTAATTTAAAATACTAGCACAAATACTGACACAAACGAAAATGACACGATCTAAAATTGAAATGACTGAAAATGACACAACACGAAAATAACATGATACGACTAATGTCGCTTTTGCCAACAAAGAAAACTAGCATGGTGGTCTAGAAGAAGGGACTAAAATGTTGGCCAATGCTCATGGTCATGGGCTTTAACGAAGCCAGCCCTTAGAACCAAGTGGACAAATATGGAACTTTCCAAACGAAAAAAAAAAGAGCCTAAAGTCATATTTTCAGAGGGTAATCTGTCGAAAAATTGAAAGTTTTTTTATAGAATATCCATATTTTTACCCTTTTTATGTCACTAAAGTCATGACATTAAAAATGACCAAACGATTTTCAGCTTAATACATATTTATATTCATTGTTTGATTATTTCGTGTTTAAGAACTATGTACAGTGCCTTCAGACATGTGATATAAGACGAGTTTAGGCCTTTGGTTTTGTGCTCGATTATTCAATGTTTGATTTTTTTTAGTTGCAAGGCACGGGTTATCCCTAGTACTAATCATATTAGAACCTTCCTATAATCAGGAATTGGTTAGGTGAATTGAGATAAAAATTAATATACTACTCTAAAAAATCTAAAAATTTCAAGTTTTATGATATTAAAATTCTAAAAAATATAATTTTTACTTAAAAATACACTACAATATCTATTTTCACATAAAATCTTAATACAACTTAGAAAGTTTATTGCGACTGAATAATTATATTGATGTAACATAAATTGATTTAAAAAAATTATATATATATGATAATTTTTAATCTTGGAAATGAAAGGTTTAAACTGTTCGATGAAAAAGAAAATACACATACGTAAGTGTGATGTTATCTTTGCACATAAGATGAGTAATATTAGATTAATGGAATTTTTGAAAATTTTTTGAATGCTTTATTGAAAATACAATGATGCATATTTTTTGAAANTAGATTAATGGAATTTTTGAAAATTTTTTGAATGCTTTATTGAAAATACAATGATGCTTATTTTTGAAGGGTAATATAATTAATCAATTTTTTTTTGTAGAAACTGATATTTATACATAGAGAATAGATAATTAAAAGAGATGTTAGAGATAAGTTGGAGATTTAAATATATAAGAATATGATGACAATTTATATATTTAGTTGTCAAAGGATAGAGTGACCTTTGCAATTCTTTATAAGGGTAAAATAGAGAATTAAAAGTTTTTTATGTTAAGGTATTTTTATTAGTAGTATAGATATAGATATGCAAGTAGGGTGCTCTAACTTCTCTATTTTGTACATAATGTATGCTTTGTATAAAATGGATGTACAAAAAAAAACTATAATACCTAGAGCAACAAACTTTCAACTGGTGAACTTCGGCATCAACCTTTTATAATCCCCAAATTCTTGTACTCTCGACAAACACTAAAAGATAAACCAAAGAAGAAAACAAAAATGCATAATGAGAGAAAGAGAGAGATTAGGACCCTTAGTTCTGTGGTTAGATCATTGAGAAGCTTTTCAGAATATTGGAAAAAAGACAGCACTTTAATTGAGAAATGTGGGTTCATCACATCTTAAAGTTGTTGAAGCTTATGATGATCAAAGAACCCCAGTAAGCCAAAACACCTAAGACAAATCAAAGTTAACTATAACAAAATACCAAATCAGAAACAAAACATAAGATCATTATAATAAAACATAATGTAAATCGATATGAAACATTCTTGAGTTTTTCTACACAATGGTTTTGTTTTGTCCATGAGTTTTTTTTTGCAATTAATTGACCCGCCTTCATCATCCGCTTACTTTGTTCTAGAAGCAACATTCAACCTCTTTTTATTAAACAATGGTGGAATATCTTTCATTAAGCAAAAGCAGCATCTGCCATTGTCTTTTGTTTTAAGATTTTTGGTTGATATATGGATTAAAGAGGGGAAGCGTTAAGAAGTCCAAGAGTCTCCCNCTTCATCATCCGCTTACTTTGTTCTAGAAGCAACATTCAACCTCTTTTTATTAAACAATGGTGGAATATCTTTCATTAAGCAAAAGCAGCATCTGCCATTGTCTTTTGTTTTAAGATTTTTGATTGATATATAGATTAAAGAGGGGAAGCGTTAAGAAGTCCAAGAGTCTCCTGAAAGAGAAAATTGGTAACTTACACAATTATAATAATATTAATGAACTTATTAATTGAAAAAGATAATATTGTCATTCTTTAGTTTGTTAAGCCTAATTTAGTCAATCAAAAGTTTTACACATATCTTGACATTTAGAAGTAGAATAGATGTATATAATATATTGCTGATGTAAAAGTTTCATATTTGCTTGACTAAAGTGTTGCTTGAAGATCCTTATTGTGTTTGATAGCATGTTCTCAGGTTTTAGATCCTACTTTGTGTGTGTATATAATAATATATTGTCTATTCNAAAGTTTTACACATATCTTGACATTTAGAAGTAGAATAGATGTATATAATATATTGCTGATGTAAAAGTTTCATATTTGCTTGACTAAAGTGTTGCTTGAAGATCCTTATTGTGTTTTATAGCATGTTCTCAGGTTTTAGATCCTACTTTGTGTGTGTATATAATAATATATTGTCTATTTGGACTTGGAGCATGTGCTAGTGTTGTGTGGAATTTATTCTCGTGATGAAGCATTGAGCAAAATTTAAAGGCATTTTTTGAACAAAATGAGATGCTGGGGACTGTATGATCATCTGATGCAGTAAAGTGGATTCAATGTGTTTTTGTGTAACCAATAATGGTTATTCTCTCTCTCTCTCTCTCTCTCTATGTGTGTGTGTGTATTATGTATGTATATATAAGTTCTTCTTGAAAACTATAGAACTTTCAATTCTTGAGTTCTGTTTGTGCATGATCTTAAGTCTTCGCTTCCACTTTTTCTATTTTTTGCAGTTTTGGATCATTCTTTGGACTTTCACAGGCAGTTATTGCTCAGAGTAATTCAAGAAAGCAAGTCATTGTTAGAGAACCCACATTTGGTGTCAAAAATTTCTAAATCCAGCAATGGGGTATGTATCCAAATTTTTTGTGACTGTAGTGTATTCAGATCTGCTTGCAACCTGATTCGACATGCTTGTACAGAGTTGTGAATCACCATACGTTCATTTGGAAGCTTGATTCCAATCGATTGTATGTGTACATTTGGCCATATAGGTCTTCCATCATTTTCAGACCTTCGGGTAATAAGAGAGTCTGAGGTTGTAAAATTGAGCATATATACTTTGAAAGTGCAGTATCCTATTCATTTTTTTCCCTGCTAACGAACTTAGTTTTGGCATAATATAAACTATTTTTCTGTTTTTGAGGTGCAAAAGAAATTTGTATTTATATGGTCTTTGCTATATTTTATTCACAAAGTTTTGTATTATTACTTTATTTTATTAGTTAAACTACTTGTTTTTGCATAAGTGTTGGGATTTTCTAGGGATATAAGGAGGGGTAAATAGAGGTGTTTCTGGAAACTCAAGGGATTGTGAATTGTAACATGCTATGTTCTCTATTGTTTGAGACTTACCTGTCTGGACTTGAGATTCACACCTGGCTTTCAGGTAGACAGATAATTTTACCTTATGGTCTTTGCAATATATGAATGGGCTGTGGTAGAGTGGTGTAGAATGATTTTTTTGATTTAATATTTTGGAGATTGGTTGATGTATGAAACAACGTGTTTGAAAAAAAAAAATTGTTGAAAGTGGGGATGAAGATGGATGAATGGTAAAACAATAAAGCACAAGGTTAAGAATGAGAATTTTTGTTTCATGGTAGAAGTTATGCCAGTGGGAGATGATTGAGGATAAGGTGGTTTAGACTTTGTGCAATGGAAATAATAACTGAACCGGTGAGGATGCCTGCTGTGATCTCTGTTGTAAATAATAACTGGGGTAGAGGACATTCAAAAGTAACACCGCTTGCAATAGCATGGGAAGATATGGTAGTTTGTGGTCTAACTGAAGCTTGATCTTAGTTGGTATAATTGTGAAGCAAGGTCATGGAGTTAATCCCAAGTAGTTGTTGCAGGGCGTTGCTAAGTTTAGTTTAGATAAATTTGACATCTTTCATGTTATTCGAGTTTCTTAAGTGGTCCTTTTTGTATAGTTGCAGCATATACAATCATGCATGGGCTTTGATGACCAGAATGTGTGCTGAATGCAGCTGCACTATTATTTAATTTTCACAGTTTGAAATGTGGCTTATCAGTTAATGATCTCATTCGGCCTCTGCAGAACAATAAGAGCTCTGCTTCTCCACCTCTGAGATCGAAACCTCAAAACAAATGGCTACCCTCCAAAAATCAGAAATGGGGTAATGTTTTTATTTACTCCATTTTGTTGTTGTTTTCTCATGTGAGCTTGAAGTTCTTGCATCTATTTCTTCTTTTGGACAGTATATATTTGATTTGTGCAGTTAAAAACCAAAGTGCAAATGCTTAAGAATACAAGGGATTACTCATTTCTGTTATCAGATGATGCGGAGCTTCCAGCTCCTGCAAAAGATCCTCCATCACAAAATGTCTCTTTTTCAAATGCTGGTGCGTTGTTGCTTTAGCATACCATTTCTGGTTGTTGATTTGAAGGATCAAAGAATACTATTATTATTGAGAAAACTTATACAGGTTTTTTGGTGATGTTGAAGCGGCACTATCAATTCAAGAGCCACCAAAGAGCAAACATTCATTGGCCAATACTGGCAGAAAAGTTCTCAATGGTCCCGAGGGACGGAAACCTGTGCTGACAGGTAGCCAAATGCAGTCTAAAATGGGGACTCCCAAATTGACATCTGGATTTAAGGTGAATGTGAAATCAGTGGACTCCAGGAAACAGCTGGGTAGCAATAACGANGAGCAAACATTCATTGGCCAATACTGGCAGAAAAGTTCTCAATGGTCCCGAGGGACGGAAACCTGTGCTGACAGGTAGCCAAATGCAGTCTAAAATGGGGACTCCCAAATTGACATCTGGATTGAAGGTGAATGTGAAATCAGTGGACTCCAGGAAACAGCTGGGTAGCAATAACGACAGTGGGCCAGGTCGGCCTTTAGGATCGAAAGAATTACCTTTTCCAAGGGTTAGCAGTAATGGCAGTGGGGCTGGTCGGCCTTTAGGGCCAAAATTATTGCCTTCTAAGATTCCAGCAGCCACCACAGAGAAGAAGAGTTCCGCACCCAATGCGAAGCGTTCCATGTCTAGCGTGTACAAATCCTCTCTCNGTTAGCAGTAATGGCAGTGGGGCTGGTCGGCCTTTAGGGCCAAAATTATTGCCTTCTAAGATTCCAGCAGCCACAACAGAGAAGAAGAGTTCCGCACCCAATGCGAAGCGTTCCATGTCTAGCGTGTACAAATCCTCTCTCTTGAAGTTGCAGTCTTCAAAGCAACCTGTGGTACAACAAAAGAAATTCCAAGAACCTAGTAAGGGAAAGATAATGCCAAAACCACCAGTTTCAGCCTCTAAATCTCAGGTCTAATCCTTACTCCCTGGATGCATCTTTTTTATTCATGTGTGGTGTTCATGTGACCTATATGTCAATCGTGTTGTGTTCATGTGAGCCATATGTCGTGTCATTGTTATTCGTGTCGTGTTTGTGTCAAAATCTACAAAAAAAAAAGAGTCTATTTAGTGTGTTATGAGTATTAAACATTAGTCTAGACTACTTATTATGCGTATTCAATAATCGTGTTAATTTTAAAATAGTTTGTATCGGGTTTCGTATGAACGGATCAGAGTTGACACCTCTAGTTGGAAGAAGGGATTTTTGGATCTTATGACTNGTCTATTTAGTGTGTTATGAGTATTAAACATTAGTCTAGACTACTTATTATGCGTATCCAATAATCGTGTTAATTTTAAAATAGTTCGTATCGGGTTCGTATGAACGGATCAGAGTTGACACCTCTAGTTGGAAGAAGGGATTTTTGGATCTTATGACTACATACCGGACTGATATAGCTATTTTACACTCAAGCATTTTCGAATGCTAATTTTTCTTTTTGTGTATCTAGTCCTCTTTTTAGATTTAGCAAAACCTTATACTAACTAGGAAATGATTCCCAGATAAAAAATGTTTTTAGTTGGCTGTCTTTCTGAATTGTTTGAATTAAGTTTCCAGAATCCTTTTTGGGTAACACTGCCGAGATGACCACTACAGTGCACTCTTTGCTTTTTCCAAATTAAGAATTTCCATGCCATTTGTTTATGATTTTCTCTCGTGTATATTTTAAAGTGAAACTAAATTGGGCGGGTGGTTAAATTCCATCATTAATGGTGATTTTAGTGGTGTTTGGATGGTTTCCATTTCTAACCTAGAACCTAAGCACCTTTTGTGTGATGAGCAATGCGGTGATCTTCTTTGCAGGTATAATCCCAACAAGTATCCTGATGATGATGATGATAGTGACATGGAGGCTGGTTTTGACGATATTTTGAGGGAGGAGAAAAGAAGGTTAGTAAGATCTTCGTAATACAGCTGAAATGTTCAATTTTTTATTTTGCACATGCTTCTGTTTCTTTCAATGAGGTGACCATCTGAGCTTTCATTGTCAGTAGAAGTTCTCAACCTGCCAATCTAATGTTTAAAATACCATTCTAAGCTGATTTTTCATCTTCTTTTTAATCCCCTTGATATGGGTTGAGCAATGATTTGGTTGACATTCAGACATTCCTCATTTTTTTTTATGGTGTCCACTTTTATTAATTTTTAGCATGCTTATAACTATTTTATTTCCTGTAGTTTCTTAAATCTATCTTACAAGTGTTTGGGATGTCTTGTGATTCAGTGCAATGATTGCGAAACGAGAGGACGAAGAAGAACTTCTCAAGATAGAAGAAGAAGAAGAAGAAAGAAGGGAGCGGTTGAGAAAAGAGACAAAAAGGCGGAAACTGAGCTGAGCTGAGCTGAGCCAACGAGGACTGGAAAAATATATACTTAGTCTGGCGGATCAAAATTTATTATAATATATTTTTATTTTATTTGATAAATTTACTATTTTGCTTCTCCTGTCTATCCGGCCTGAACACAGGGATAGGGCCAATAAAGGCAGGTGTTTTAGGCTCCAACCCAAAAACAGAGGTTTTAAATTTATATCATAAAGAGCAGTGTTATTGTAGACTTAATCAAACATTAGAAATTGATATTGTTTCAAGAGTAGTGTTATGTATCTTAAATTAAGGAGGATCATTGGATTGGATTAGTGGGTTTTATCAACTTTTTTAAATAGGACCTATTGATCTAATGGTCTTTCTTGATTTGGGATGCAAATTGGGTTATAAATTTGAGATATATATTATTACTCTTAATTCAATGATTTTTATAAAATTATATCATTATGTTAGAAAATTATGTTTAAATAAAATTACTCTAAATTTAAATTGATAAAAATTGAGTCTAATTTTCAAGTTATAATTTTTTTGATGTTTAGGTTATAACTTGTAAAAGGCATGATAGATTAGGATTGATATTGAAAGTTATAACGTTAAAAACTAAGTTATAAATTTTAAAGGTTAAATTAAAAGTGATAAGAAGAAGTTTTAATTTTTCAAGGAAAGTTAACGATCAATTATTAGTATCTGTGATTGATTATAGTTTTTTATTGAATAGTTGTAATTTATTTATTTTAAATGTGTAATTTTATTATAAACAATTATAAATTTTGTTATGACTTTGAATTTTGAATTTTTTATTTTTGGTACTGTGGATTTTGTCATAACACTTCATCAGATGGTTGCAACTAATAATAGTTTTACACCTTTGGCTTGGGACAAATTTGAGAATAGCATGATTAATAAACAAAAATATGAATATAAATTATATAATCTGAACATAGTACGACTTAACTTAATTAACCTTCATGCCTTTTTCGTGCAATTTGAGTCCGCAGCTGGGAAATCACGGGACACTGGAGAGGGCTCAGGGTGTTAAAGTCCAGCTGTTGTGATGATAAGATGATACATTGGCCGTTGGTTGAAATTGAAGGACGATAGGGCGATAATATACAAACTAACATCTCGAAATAGTGGCCTTCTCTAACTTTATATGATATATCTTTTTATTGACCGATGATATTACGCGTTATTAATAACATGATATCTGATGAGTCTGAATTTCACTAGCCCAAACTCAATCTAAATGAACTGAAAAGATCCAATAAAAATCCAACCGAGACTGGATCAATCGAAGAGTCCAAGTCACGGGAGCTCAAAGGGAGTTGGTCTTGCTCATAAATCAAGTGGAGCCAAGACACCAAAGGCCAACGCCCAAGGGGGGCGCCACCCATGACCAGACCCTCCTGGTTAGGGATGTCAGTGGACCGAAGTGGGGGCGGGGAGTGTAGTCTTCATCCTCGTATCCGCTTAAAAAAACTTTGTCCATCCCCGGTCCACTCCCATTAAAGGGTATAATTTTCATCCTCATTCTCATCCACGAATAAATTTTTAATTCCCGTCCCCGTCCCCGCTTCCCCATACCCGTTTAAGTTCAAGCTCAAGTCCAAGGCCAAGCCCAAATAGCATAATTCTAAATTCTAAATAAATCTAATATTTTAAATAATTCAACAACATTCTAAATAATATAGATTACATAATGTAAAAGTCAAAACAATATAGTATTCTGTTTAAAGTGTCATTAGACCACAAAAAGAGAAACGGAACTATTAGAGAGAAATGAAAAAAAGAAAAATAAAATTGAACTAAGAAAACGATAACACTACACCTGAAGTTTCCTAGAAATTTTTTTATTATTACAATTCATACTACAGCCATAAAGTGTTAAAAGATGAAAACTTAAAATTTCGTTAATTCAATAATTCTCTCAATTTCTTAGTCACTCTAGCAGATAAACTTATCAACCTCTATTTACAATATTTCTATCCACAATGAAATGCAAAACTATCTTACTATCTCTTTTCTGTTTTTAGAGCATGGTCAATCCAAACTCCTAACAGTTTCAATTAGTGAACATACATAGAAAAAAGAATAATCAAGAAAAAAGTTGATAAGATTACCACATAACAATGCCACTTGTTAGTTTGATTATCATATTTCTAGATTANGGGGGGGGGGTAAGGGTAAGTCCATCCCCGTTTTCATCCTCGTACGGGTTTATACGAGTATTCCCGTATACGTCAACCGTCCAATACGTATAGTCCATCCCTGATCCAAACGAGACGGGTTTGGACAAATACCCGCTTTCTNTCATCCTCGTACGGGTTTATACGAGTATTCCCGTATACGTCAACCGTCCAATACGTATAGTCCATCCCTGATCCAAACGAGACGGGTTTGGACAAATACCCGCTTTCTCCCGGTCCACTGTCATCCCTACTCCTGGTTCTTCCTCCTTTGTCCTCCTAACTCCAACGCAAGCCCAAGTCTACTTCGATTCAAGTTCAAGGACCAACTTAGGATCATTCTCTCGATGGAATAGGGATACAAGCGATAGAATATTGGGATACGAAAATCTAATCCTACTAAGATTGTACTGATACGAAGATCTAATCCTACTAAGATTGTACTTGCCAAAATTATGGAAGACCTCTCACTCTCGTCACCGCCTTACCCTAACTATATAATGAACACCCTCTCAACATTGAGGGCACGCCTCTGAGACCTCTACACCTCCCTTTGTACACATTCCTTTTTTTCTCTCCCTCTCTAAAGCACAGTAATACTTCTGAAAAATATACTCTTCTGCGATTTCACCCATTAATAAAAGATTCAGGCCACTGTTGCTGTTTACGAGAGTGGAGTAAGTCATTCAGAGCGAACCACTATAAATTTCTGTATTAGTTCTTTATTTATGGTTTTACCATTAATTGTCTATTTATTACTCATTAATTATCTTTATTTATATTCTTGACTGTTGATCTTGCACAATATCAATTTGTGCATCGTTGATATCAACCTTCGGCTTTCCAATGATAGTTACTCCCGTGGACAGTGGTATGACATTTTTTAAAGCGACGTAAATATAACTTGAAAAAATATTAAATATAATAATCACACTAAGTTATTTTTGTTACGAAATATTATTATACATACAATAAAAATATAACAACTCAACAAATCGACGCACAATAAAGAGTTTCACCGTTTCGCCCAATATTTACTTCACTCTCCCTGTTATTTTGTCACGTGTTTCACCCTACAACGCTTCCCCTTCATATCTGTCAATCTCTCTCTCGTCCAGAAGGCCGTAGTAAGCAATGGAGATCTTCCTAAATTGTGCCATTCCAATGGCTCCTCTTCTTCCCAAAATCACTATTCCGAATTACAAATGTATTAAAGCTCGTGCTGTTCATTGCTTTGGGTATATTCCTTTATAATGAACTCTGTAAATTCCAATGGTTCTTCTTCTTCTTCTCCTCCTTTCTCTCTCCCTCCCTCTCTGTGCATACTTATATTTGCATAGATTGACAGTAACGTGTAGCTAAATTGCTGATTTTGCTCACTTGACGAAACTTTTGATTTTGCTCACTTAACGAAACTTTGTACTTGCTGCTACTGGTATCCATGTTTATTGTCTATTCAACTGATAAAATGCCTCACAATACTGCTGTTGCCCCACCCCAAGTGATTGATGTTGCAATCTTGACAATGAATATGGGTTCAGAACCCCAAAATTCAAAGATTTTGTTTTGGGGGTCATTAACAGTTAAGTTGATTGTTTGTATTGATTTATCACACCCAAAAGCTGTTGCAGGGACAGTTAGGTTGGACTGTTTGCATTCTGAGTTTTCTTACAAAGGCATTGATGATGGAAACTTGTAGACTTTGTATAGTTAAATTGGAGGACTACTTTTTAAAATTTATTTCCTTGATGATTTACAAAAAGAAATTTTAACAACAATTAAATTCTCATCCAAAACTGTGTGTCCGTAATCTTAAAATTAAAATCCTAGTTAGTGGTCGTCGGTCGTCCTCTGTTTCGGATGATCTGAAACAAAACAAATGCACCACTCACTTTTAATGTGATTTCCTGTTGAAAATTTAGTTTAGTAGCATTAATCTTTGAGATTTCATTTTTACTTCATTTTTCTTATTGAAAAACCAGAAAAAAGTTTAATACCACTTGGGAGGGAGGATACCTATTACAATCCCTCACACATTGGCACTTTTGCTTTTCCGAATATTTCCTTTAAGTCATGTTGGTAAGTTCCCTCTGTGCTCTGTGTTCCAACTGAGGCTGATGTGCATCTTTTTGTGGTAATAATCTGATCCATACATCAATAGGGATGCTTTCAAAGGAGGTGTTTAGGACCTCAAGGTTATTTGCTTTATGATAATATTTATTTACAATTATTCTTCTAGTTCTGAAGGTCTCATTCTTTTATATTGTTGCCATAATGAAATTTGAATNCTTTATGATAATATTTATTTACAATTATTCTTCTAGTTCTGAAGGTCTCATTCTTTTATATTGTTGCCATAATGAAATTTGAATCCTTGTTAAATTAATCCATTTTTTTCCCTGCTTGCACTTTGTTCAATCTTTTTTTTAGCTCGGCCAGAGTTTACCTTTTGTCTATGCAAGCTTTAAATATCACTGGCACATTAGGTGTACTTCTTAATCTGCTCTAATGCTAACAATTACAAGGATCCATTTTATGCGCCTAGCATGGGGCTGTCATTTCCTTCAATANATGCAAGCTTTAAATATCACTGGCACATTAGGTGTACTTCTTAATCTGCTCTAATGCAAACAATTACAAGGATCCATTTTATGCGCCTAGCATGGGGCTGTCATTTCCTTCAATGAGATGCTGCTCGTACTACACCTTTGGTGAGCTATTAAAAAGAACTATGTTTATAACTATTCACTCTATTTAATGAGATTGGTGTTAATTACAGGAAGAATGGGGAGCCCAATGGTTTATCTGGAGTACCTCTGCAGACGGGGTGAGCATTTTGTTTTCTTATTCTGATATTTTATTTAGTTTTTATTTCCTGCTGTAACTCACTCAGCAACATGTTCCAATCTGTAATCTAGGTTAGAAAGTCATGAAAATAAGGAGATGCACCAGGTATGCATTTGTTGCTTCAATTTTGACTTGCTGTCTTTCCAAGGATCACAGAATTCTGCTGTTTTTCCTCTAGGATCTGCTGCAACCTCTGAATAGTGAATCAGAAAAGAAAGATAATGATATTTGGAAACTCTTCAGGGAAGCTCAGCAGAGTAAGACCTAAATTACTTCTTCGCTTCTTTTAATTCAGCTGTTCGCATAGGAAATCTTATATGGACTTATTTTTTTGTTATAATTTCTTATTTCCTGAATGATCATCATACAGATATTCTTCACTTAAACAAACAACGTCTCATGGCCATAGAGGAGGTGCAAAGATTGAAGAGCGAAAAAAAGTCATTGCTTGACAAGATAGAACAATTTGAGGCGAACGTGCACACCGATACTGGAAAAGGTGAAAATGGCCCGAGTGTAGTTTCTGATACTGCTGATGCACTGGAACATGATTACTTGTAGTCTTAATTAGAATCTTGGTTTGCCAGGTGCCAATACTCAATTTATGTCTTTGTTTATGTAATTTGTGCATCTGTGCATTCATTATACATTTGGATTGGCCAATGGGTTATCTAAAGAGCCGAGGCATTGTGATTGTGTAAGGTCTTTAACCAAAATTCCAAAGCACCTTGGCACCATCCAATGATTCTCTAAAGTGGTTAATGAAGCACAGCAAGAAGGAGACTGAAGTTGAGGACATAACATGAAATTTGAGCTGAAATAGAAGAATAACAGCAAAAATGATATCACACACCTTTGAGGGTCTTATTTGTTGTTGTCTATTGTCAGGGGCTCTCATCCTCTATCAGAAATTCGTCCATCATCCAGTATAGTCATATATGGCTTAGGTTAAATGTCATTTATTTTATTTCCTGTCTGTTTATATGATCTTTGATTATTCGTCTCTCAGGTAAGATTTCAAGTTTTTCAAAGATTCCTGGACGGGGATAATCTTTGCTTGCTTGCTTCTAGTTTTAAGTTCTTTTTTCAATCTTGCACATGCTACTTACTGTCATGCATCCACTGGAACGTTTTCATGTAAAAGGAGTAGTAGATTCATGTTGGAAGTCATGCAGCAAAGTTCATCAATTGGAAATGTTGCTTGATGCGCGACTCGTTACACGAATGCTTTGTTACCCATTAGACACCACAGACCTTGAATTGGACTCTTTCTGTGAACAGTTAGACAAGAGATAAATTAAAGGAGAAGTGTCAAGGAAGAAGCGACTAGAGTCTGGCTTGAAATAGAGTTAAAAACTGATAGCAATTATACTTACTAGTCTTTACTTTTATTTATGTTGGAGATATAGCAGCAGCCTGATATAGCAGTATTCTAGTTTATTAGGGTTTTATTAAGTTTTTCTTTTTACTTNGTCTTTACTTTTATTTATGTTGGAGATATAGCAGCAGCCTGATATAGCAGCATTCTAGTTTATTAGGGTTTTATTAAGTTTTTCTTTTTACTTTTTTGTCCTTGTTGTAACTCTCATTGACTATATATACGGGGGTTCTACACTTAGTTTGTATCCTTTTCACTTACATCTATCTCAAGTTGGTATCAGAGCCTAAGCCTAAGCCTAACCCACCGCCTGCAAGAACAGACCGACAGCCTCCACCGACAAAACAACTCAGTCCACCGACTGCCAAACCAATGCACACAGCAAGCACCGACTGCCAAACCATACCCAGCAGCACCGAATCAGCGACAACCACCTAGCTGCCACCACCACTACTCACCGACAGAAACCCAGCCACCGCCACAGCCAGCCACCTTGCTGCCTCACTACCCAAAAACAGCGAAACCATCTCCATAAACCCAGTAACTATGACAAGCAAGGCAGTGACCAAGACCCAACAACCCACTGCCCACCCACTAACCGCCGATTGCAACATATACCATCAATCCACTGCCATCACTAACATACCATCACCGAACAACCGACTGACCCAAAAACATATACCATCACCGACATACTACCAGCCAAAACCCAACAACCGACTGACCAACAATACTGCCACCACCGACTGCAACATGCAACATATAACCCAAAACTCCAACACCCAGCCACTACCAGCTAAGATCCCACTGCCAGCCAACATATACCCATAAAACAAACGACCCATATACCAATGACCCACTGCCGATACCCAATAAACAAAACCCAAAAGCAAACCAGCAACCCACTGCCCAACAAAACCCAGTAACACTGACTGATCCAAAAACAAACCCGCGACCCACTGTCCAATCCAGCGAACCAGCCTACTGTTGGGACGCATTCTTCGTCACAACTTCGTGTTTTGTCTTCGTACGCTTGATTATTTGGGATTGTAGGACCTTTTAAGAGGGGTTGAATCCTCCTCTCCGTTGATATGCTCTTGATGCAATAGATTATTTATTTATATTTATTGAATTTCTGGGCACCGTGACTTGAATATTTGGAAGCTTTTCGGACCTTCTTTATATGTCGCTACTGTTCGACTGGAGGTATATTGTTCTCCCTTATTTTATCCCTCTATTTATCTTAGAATTATTGTTTCTATTACGGGTGCCCTAGTATTATTGTTGATATGGCTACTACTGAGGGACTTGAGACCTCTACTGTTGACACCTCTACCGTTGAGACATCTATTGGTACTTCCACTTTTATGTTTGACCAGTATACAGTACCTACTAGCACAGTTGCATTACCAGCACTACCGGCCATGATCTCTCAGAAAGTTACGATACAGTTGTTGAATGGTTGTAACTTCGCTGAGTGGTCTCGCTCATTCCAGCTTTTCTTAGGCCGGGTAAGGAAGCTTGGTTGGCTGATGGGATCTCACCCAAAGTCAGCTGATGCTGACCCTGGATATTCTGTCTAGTTCTCTGAGAACTGCGCCATTCTTGGATGGTTATTTGGCTTGATGGAGCCATCTGTTTGTAGGATCCACCAGTTTCATAGCTCTATTCCGAAGCTATGGAGCGCATTATTAGAGATGTATTCTCAGTCAGGACGGGGAGTTCGTGTTTATGAGCTTTCTCAGGAGCTCTCATATGCTTGGCAGGGAGATATGATCGTTTAGGATTATTATGGCTATTTAACCCAGCGCTGGCTTGAGTATGAAACTCTACGTCCTCTTGCTGTTATTCCGAGGATAGAGCCCGAGGGAGCAGCATTCTTGCATACTCGAGAGCAGGAGGATAGGATTCACAAGTTCCTTAGGGGCTTCGTGATGAGTTTAAGGGACCTCGTTCTTAGATCTTATCGATGTCGACACTTCCTTCTCTTTATGAGGTGTATGAGATGATTGAGCAGCATGAGCACCGAGTGNTCGATGTTGACACTTCCTTCTCTTTATGAGGTGTATGAGATGATTGAGCAGCATGAGCACCGAGTCCGTATTGCATCACTTCCAGTTGCGCCTTTGAATCCTTCGGCTGACCAGATGGCCCTTGCGGCTGCTGCAGGGTCTCGTTCAGGATCCTCAGTCAGGGTTGGGCAGCGCTCGGATCAGCGCCGTCAGGGTACCCCAGATCAGTGCAGACAGGGGGATTCTCGTCAATGTGATTATTGTGGCCGACTAGGACATCTGTGGGCTACTTGCTGGAAGGTCCATCCAGAGCTTAAGCCGCCTCTTCGCAACCGTACTGTTCCTATTGCTGAGGTACTACCATCCACTACCGCTACTCCTGCGGTTGTTCCTCCTTGGCAGAGTGATATGGATGCTATCATTTCCCGATTAGATATACTTATGTCTGCTCTAATTTTTCAGAGTCCGACTACTGCTGCTACCACTACAGGTATACCTTGTGCCTTTCATGCTTGTGCCAGTTCATCTCCCCTTTGGATGTTGGACTCGAGTGCGAATAGTCACATGACATGTGCNATATCTCGTGCCTTTCACGCTTGTGCCAGTTCATCTCCCCTTTGGATGTTGGACTCGGGTGCGAATGGTCACATGACAGGTGAGGCCCATCACTTCACCACTTTTGACGAGCCGTTACATACACAGGTTCAGTTAGCAGATGGAACACATGCCCCTATTGTTAGTAGGGGTATAGTCCGCCTCCTAGATGGCTTTACATTACGTTCAGTTTTTCATGCGCCAAAGTTGANTACATTACATTCGGTTTTTCATGCGCCAAAGTTGGCCATGAATCTATTATCTGTACATCAGTTAGCCAGAGATTTTCACTGTGCGGTTGTATTCTTATCTGATTCGTGTTATTTGCAGGACCTGAGTACCAGGAGGATTATTATCAGGGGACATGAGAAAGATGGACTGTATTATCTTGGCAATCCACCTCCAGTTTCACCAATTCCTCTACCTATGTCAACTGCACCTGCACCTGTTTTGTCTTTATCTGTTCCTAACTTGCATGCTAGTATTTTACCTAGTAGTTGTCGTTATGTTTTTTCGTCACAAACTGTTCAGTTGTGGCACGACCATTTTGGACATACAAATTTTAAATATTTATGTATGTTGTTTACTACTTTGAGCAATACTTGTATTGATGGTAAACTTGACTGTGTTATATGGTTCCTTATCGAAACATGTTAGGGTTAGTTATATTTCTTGCATGCACCAGTCACCCAAGCCATTTGACCTAATACACTCTGATATTTGGGGACCCTCTCCCGTTACTATTTTGTCAGGTGCCCGATACTATGTGACATTTATAGATGACCATATCCGTTATACTTGGGTCTACCTTTTGCATCGAAAGTCTAATATACTCTCTATAATCACTCAATTTTTACAGATGATTAAGACAGAATTTGATGTCATTGTTCATGCTCTTCGTTCGGATAATGCCAAAGAATATGTGTCTGATGCCTTAGTGTCCCATCTTTCTTCTCAGGGTATTCTTCAGCAACTCACTTGTCCATATACTCCTGAGCAAAATAGTGTTGCTGAAAGAAAAAATAGGAGTTTGATAGGGATGGTACGTTGTATGCTTCGAGGCATGAGAGTACCAAAATCTTATTGGCATTTTGCTGTTTTGACTTCTACCTTTCTGTGCAATCATACGCCGAGTCGTGTTCTTCAGCATAAGGCTCCCTTACAAGTCTTATTTCTTGAGCGGACACTTTTTTCGGTCCCCCCTTGTGTTTTTGGATACACATGTTTTGTTCAGGATCGATCTCATACTCGTCATAAATTTGATGATAAAATAATTTGTTGTATCTTTGTGGGCTATTGTCATCAATCTAAGGGGTATCGGTGTTATGATCCTATTGGGCGCCGTATGTATCACAGTCTAGATGTTACTTTTTTAGAGCATATTCTTTATTTTCCTTTTAGTCCTGTGTCTGCTCCTTCAGTTGATGATACTCCCCTTGATTTTGCATTACCACAAGAGCTAGAGTCATTGGTCACTATCCCTATAGGGTCATCTGTCTCTCTTCCTCTGAAGCCACTCATCCCTGTCAGTACAGAGTCAACAATCTCTCTTCCTTTGCAGGTGTATGTTCGTTGCCCTCGTTCTCATCACCCTACTGATGTCCCCTCTACCTCAGGCGATGAAGGTAATACTTCTCAGTTTATTGAGCATATTGATGCGCCTGTTGTTAGTACTGATGAGTTTGCAGGTGTTGAGCTAGTTCCTTTACCTGATGAGACATTATCAGTGAAGGATGATGATTTAGAGCGTCGTTATTCGCAGCGTGATTNGATGAGTTTGCAGGTGTTGAGCCAGTTCCTTTACCTGATGAGACATTATCAGTGGAGGATGATGATTTAGAGCGTCGTTATACGCAGCGTGATCGCCGTCCAGTTGATCGTTATGGTTGGACCGCCAGGATTTTATATCCGATCTCTGCTTATGTTTCTTA